AGCGGGTGCACCGCCTCCCTATTGATTGACCGCCTTTGCCCCGCACCCACATGCCCGACGAAAGGCGATCCAGCACCATGTCTCGCTGCCGGCGGCATCGCGCACGGTGGCCGGCGCCGTGGACTCTCCTCGGAGATGACTAACCAATCCCGATGAGGGAACATCCTGTCGGCGAGGGCATGGCCGGGCGAAGAGCGCCCTCCAGGGGGAGGGAGTGCGGGGCCAGTCACGGGGACGGGGGGACACACCGGACTGGCACCGTGGCGCGAACGACGCCCAGAGCCCGAGGGTCATGCTGAGCCCAGGCAGTCAAGGGGCGCGGCCAGGTGCCTGCCACAGGCCGAAAGACGCGGGCCACGGAGGCGGGCAGAGGCTGGATGAATCGGGAGAATGCGCGGACGCACAAGCACCCCCGCACCCCCCCAGGAGGCAAGATAAGAGAAGGCCTTGTGCCGTGCGGGCCCAGCGAGAGAGAGGCTCGATGAAGCCAAGCACACCTGGGGGAGGTGGGCATGCGAGAGGGCGCCAAGAGTGCTTGTTCTCCGAGATCAACCAAAAAAAAAACACACACGGAGCGAGAGGCGCGGGAGGGGAAAACATGACCCCGAAAAAAAATGGAGCCGAAAAAAAACCACGCGGCACCCGGGAGGGACAGTATCCGCGCGCGCGCGCGCGGGCCAACAAAAAAAGGGCCCCATCGTTCCCGCCAAGCCCGTGCCAGGAACAGCCAGACGCCTCCGATCGATCGCGCCACCCAGAGAGATATATTTATTAATGCGGCCTTTCTCGGGCTTTTGCCCGGGGCCATTATTATGCACGGGCCCGATGCGTTGGCACATCTCTCCACGCTTGTGTGCCGCGCAATGGACCCGAGGGACCCGGCCCTTGTCTCGGGCCCGCGCGCCCGCGTTCAGGCCCTTTGTCCACGAGGATGAGGGCCGATCACCCCCCCCCCTCAACCCTCTTTCCGGCCGGCGAGCGCGTCCCCAGCGCCAGACACCGGTCAGGCTACACCGGCCATTGGTGTTCCAAACACGCCTTTTGCAAGACACCGCCTCACGCGGGCACACCACCGCCGACAGCCCCTCAGGCCACGGTAGTTGGCCAGGGGCCAGGCACCACAGCGGTCCACGCTCGTCGCCAGCGAGCACCCGCATGCCGACCTGTCCCCAATCGCCTGTCCCCCCGGAGGGGGGGAGCTAGCGCGCCGGTCGGCCACGACCAGACCCTCGTCCGAGGCCCTGCGGCCGGGGGAGTTGCCGCACCGAGTAGCGACCCACCAGCCGGGACCTTCCTCCAGCTCACCGCGCCTCATGCGCCACCGGACACTAGCTCCCGACGACCCGGCTGTTGAGCCACGACGGTTGGCGCTCTGCCCGTGCCCTCGCCGCCAGTCCCCGCAGCCGCCAGCGACACACATGCCGACACCTCGGCCCTGGCCAATGCCCCCCCCCCTCTGCAGCCAGGACAGGCACATCGGGCCGCCAGCCGCAGATCCACGATTGCCGGATGCCCGGAGCCTACATCAGCCAGGTGCTCGGCCGCCTCGACACACCGGCTTCTGCTCTCGGCGGACCTCCGACAGGCCGCAAGTCACCCGCATGGCCGAGGCCCTCGACCACCGACCGGACCCCGGCGCCCATGGCCCCACACTCCAGGCCGAGCCGCCCAGGGGCCGGCGCCCTAATGCGGGCTGGGCATGGAGGACCGGCTGCATGCAGATGTACCTGCCGCGAGACAGGAGATGCGCCGTGAGCCACTGCCGGGTCGGGTTGCCTGGGGTTCCGGCCCCTCGTTCCCGATGCGGCGGCCGTCCTGCAGCCACGAGGGACATGGAGACCGTGCGCAGTGTGGGTGGGGGAGACAAACATAAAAAAAAGGGAAGGGCAGGGAGCATGGCGAACGCCCCTCCCCCACCGGCGGGGCCGTGCGCCTCCCACCCCCACCTAAAACATATTCGCCAGTCCGCGCCCCTCTCCACCCCGCCCTGACGGACGTGGCAATAGGCCGTTCTCGGTGGACACGTACAGGCGGGCTCACACACAGCCCAGATCGCCCTGCGCGCGCGCGCGCACACACACACACACACACACACCGCCCCGCAGATGACGCATTCGCTGGCATCCTCAGCCCCCCCGACCAAAAGGGAATCCATGGAGGCGGAGGGTATCGATCCCCCTGCCTGCCGCATGCTAAGCGGCCGCTCTACCATTTGAGCTACGCCCCCTGGCGGATGGAGCACCGTCTCCCGCGGGGATATTTTTCTGACCGCGTGCCATCTTTATGCCGCCCACCTCCACCTCGCTGTCCGGGCCTGCCCCCGCCTGGCAAACCGGTGCCATCGCCCCTCGGCCATGAGGCGATCAAGAGGGCGCGAGAGAGCAAAAAAAGATCACATCAAGACATGGCCCCCCCCCCCCCCCCGCAGTGAGAGTGGCCGGCCTCCGTGGTTCACCAACAGTCTGCAGCACCCGGCGACATCGAACACCGACCAGAGCCGATCCTTATTGCCCCCTTGCCTTGCCAAGTGGCTGCCCCCTCATGACCAATCGCAAAGCAGTGCATCCTCCCCTCTTCGGCCCCGCAAAGCCACAGCGCCCGGGCGGAGGACCGCCCTTCGCTCACTGCGCATGCTCACATTGGCTCGGACTCTGCCATGGGCCGCCCAAACACGGGGTAAGCTGGTCCCTGAATGTGCCGCGCGCCACTCGAAACACACACACAGATCGCCTGCCGGCCTTTTCTTTTCCCCCAGGCGCTACTGATCTCTGCCCATATCACTACCCTGGCTGACGGCAATCCCTCCTACAATCGTTGAGCATTCCCCCAGCTGCCCAAGCGTCCCATGCCACTACCTTACATTTTCGCCTCGGCAAAGCGTGGGCTCCGTCGATGCCACCTTTGGCACCCGGCCCCGCGTCGCCCATCGTCCCCCAGCCGACTCGCCTTCCGTGCCAGGGATGACGCCCCGCCGACTCGTTGGAAATGCGCCCGACGCTCGATCCGCCATCGCCCGCTTCCCCCCGGGGCGCCCGGCAATCGGCACATCGACCTCCCGGACTCACACCCGGCCCCTCACAGCCAAGGGCATTGTCATCCCGAGAGGCCTTCGCACCAGGGGACCCCATGGACCGAAGCGCTTCCCCACCTCCAGAAACAACTCCCGGTAGCCCCGCCATGGCCCGGACACCCGGACAGCTCCGCGGCTGTGGCCGCCCCCTGCGGAGGCCCCGCCCGAGGTGGATCCTTCTGACTGGCGCCCGGCCAGCCTGGTCAGGTGTTCGCCGCGGCACAGCCCGTCATGAAGCGTGTTCGGATCGCCTCTCCAAGAGTGGCCTGCCGCCCCGTGGCCAGACGGGAAGGGGGCCGGCTTCCGTGAAAGCCGTCGCCGGCACCGCCGCCAGGACCGCTGTCTCCTCATCCATAGAGGGGCATCCCCCTGCCTCGCCAGGTGGCGAGTCTCTTCCCGTCCGAGAGGCACCCCCAAAGAGAAGGCCCATCCCCCCGCACATGTGGACCTCGTCATCGCTCATACGCTGCAGCAAGGTACCTGCCATGCCCCCGGGAATCGATAGGTCCCCCCCGCTCGGACGCCGAGGCTTGTTCGCGAGCACCCCAAGGGAGCGTACGACGCAGGATGGCTCTCATCAGTCGCTTGCGGCCTCATGGGTGCGACAGACGGGCAAGAAGGACTCGCGGTCAACGCGTCCGAGCCCCGCCACCGCCAGGCTGGCCCGCATGGCCCGGGCGCCGGGACCTCCATGGGCCAGGCACGGCATCAGGCCATAGCAGCGTCACTTGCCACACGTCTCTCGTCCAGGCCACCTGTCCCGGGTATGCGCATCGGGGACTGGCTGGCACCGCCGCTTGCTCGGCGACATGCGTGCCGCACCCGGCCGCCGTCAATATCAGACATGCGTCTCCTGCCTTCCTCCCCCGGGAAGGGGCCGCTGCCCGGCCAGGCCGTGAGCCTCCCAGCACCGTGGTTGGATGGCAACCCAGCGCATCCATGCGCCTTCACTCTTGGCCCCTCGACCTGGGGCTCCATAAAGCCGCCCATCAGAGCGCCGGCCAGTCCCGGCGGCTCGGGCCGGGGATACCCCCCTCGCCGGTGGGCGCCTCGCCATGCTTGCCTCGCCAATCTCGAGCTCCTCGTTAGGGGAGTGGTGGCACCCACACCCACCCCCGGAGGACCGTGGCACCATAGCCGCCGCCTTCTCCACCGGGCACCTTCCAAAATGCTCGATGTCATCGGGCGCCCCTGCAGATGCCGGCCTCCCCGGCGCGCCGTGCCGCCCCGGCCAAGGAGGATGCAGCGCTACAAGACCATAGGGGGGCGAGCCCCGCCGGAACATGCGCCCAGACAACCCTGCACACAGGTACCCCCCAAGTGAGACCGGTCCTCTGCCCCGGCCCCTCCCCTGCGCATGCGCCGCCAGGCTGCTCGGCCTGTTGCCCCCATGCCCTTTCTACGGGTGCCTGGTGCCGGCGCATCTCCCGGGTCGCACAACCCCCCGGCATCCATCCTCGGCAGGCAGCCGAGACGCCGCTCAGGCCCCCGCGCAGGCCACCAGCAAGCCGCCTGCCAAATGCCACGCCCCGGCGCCGAACGGAAATGGCCCCGGAGAGAGGGGGCCTTCCTTTCCCGACGGGCAAGCCCCACCCCGGGGGCGGGGCCTCTTCTTCGAAATCGAGCTCCCCGGCCGGCTGCCTGGCCCGTCGGCTGTCCCACAGGCCGGGGCTTACCCCATCCCATCGGACACGCCGAGCGCATTCCCCCACATCCAGGCATCCTCCCCAGGGCCATGCGGCCAACCAAGTGCCCTGTCGTGGGGGGCCAAGAGCCGGCCTTCTTGGCCAGGGGCCACCCCACAGCCTGTCCATGCCCCGCCTCCGGCGCCCGCAGCAGCACACATACCCGCCTATTCCGCCCTGCCTGATGCTGGCGCATAACCGCCTGACCAGCCGCCGGCCCGGACGGCGTCGCCCTTCCGCCCAATCCACCGCATCGCCCCACCGGGCAGCGGCGTGCGGCCGAGCCTCCCCGGGCACAGGCGACTCTCCCGCCGCAAATGGCCGCCCTGCCCGCCCGGGGGAGATCCACCCCCCGCCAAGTTGGCCGCGAGGCCACACCGAAGACATCCGACACGCGCGTGTATCTGCACCGGGTCGGCGCCCGAAAGTCCGATGGGGCATCAGCGGACGGCCGCCGGGGCCGTCATGGCGCCGGTCGAGCTGTGCCCGCCCTCGAGAGCGCCCCTGGCGCATCGGGCAAGCGCGGCGGCCCCAAAGCACAAGCGCCGGCAGGCCGCCCCGAGCCCGGCGCGCAGGACCCACCGGCGGGCCCCACCCCTAGGCCAGGGTCGCGGCCAGCTCCGCCAACAGGTGCCGCAGGTGCGACGCGGAGGACCGGTTCACCGGGTCCTCTGACCAGAGTCGGGACAGCTCGTCGGCCAGGCCCCGGCCCAGGGCCGAGTCCTCCTGGGCCACCGGGTCCGTGGCATGGTAAAGGGCCGGCCGATCGCCGGCCGCCACGGCCCCCGCGATGCCACCAAAGCGCAGCCCCTCCCAGGGGACCCTGCGCGAGATGGTCTCCCACAGGAGGATGCCCGCGCTGTACATGTCCGAGGGCAGGTAGTGCTCGGCCCGGAGGGCATGCCGGCGCTGGAAGGCCTGCAAGACCTCCGGCGCCGCGTACCGCGCCGTCAGGGCATTGAGCTCCGGCGCCGCGGTCACAAGGGCCGACGCCCGGTCGGCATTCAAATTCCGGCTGGTGCCCAGGTCCCCGAGCGCCGCATACCAGCGCGCCCCATCGGCCCCGCGCCGGACGAAAACATTGCCCGGCTTCAAGTCGCAGTGGGCAATCCCATTCGCATGCATGGCCTCCAGCCCGGTGGCCCACTGCAAGCCCAGGTCCAGCAGCGCGCCCAGGCCCAGCCACAGGTCCGAGTGGAGCAGCCCCGCCAGGTCCCCCTCAAAGCGCTCCATCACGATGGCCGGCGGGTCCTCGCTGTACCCGTAAATCCGCACGATGTGCGCGTGCTCCCGCAGCAGCCTGCGATGCAAGGGCACCGGGCCCGGTCAGAGGACGCCCCCTCCCGAGGCAAGTGGCCCCCCCCCCCCGCCGCGCCCGTACTACGCACCACATCAGGGCAATTTCATTCTGCAGGAGCGTCACCTGCAGGGGTGTCATTCGGTCCGCTGGAGAGGAGCAGCGACATGCGCCGTTAGCAGGCGCCCAAGGCAGCAGCCTCGGCTCTGGGATCGACACCCGCCCATCCGCCTCCCCCCGAGACGCACCTTTCATCTGCTTGATGGCCACGGTGTCCATGCAGCCGAGGCGCGAGGACGTCCCCGCCCCGACGACCCGCGCGGCGAACACCGCCGCCTGGGCCCCGGACCCGAGGTGGTCCTCGTCCAGGGCCACAACATCGTGTGTCATGCTCACGAGCATGGCCCCCGGCAGGGACATCTCTGCGCGCATCCCCCCGTGCGGTCATATGCCACATTTGGCCGAGGTCAGAGGGCCTTGAAAGAAGAGTCGCGCACGCGAGGACACCCGCGCAGGCCCGACCCCCCCTCCCGGGCCGGGGGGGGGGGGGGGCGCGGCAATGACGCACCGACGATCGTATTGAGAACCGTGGAATCTGAGCCCGGCACACGGACACCCGTCAGTACCCCGCCGCCATGTGCAGGTGTCCCCTTCCCCCAGCGCGCGCGCGCGCGCGGCTGTCCCTCGAACGCACCCTCATCCGGCTGCCCGGCAGACGGTACCCAGTGTGAGCGACAGCATGGCCGTCAGCCTTCATGAACACCCCCCCCCCGCGCCCTGTGCGGCTGCATACGATAGAGCGATGAACCCACGCACCGGCGCTTGCGCGGGCGCCTTCGAGCGAGAGCGCCTCCGCAGCAGGAGACCCAGCGCCAGCAGCGCCAGCAGCACCAGCAACATGCCCAGGCCGATGCCCAGGCCGAGCACTGCCCACGGCATGGCCACGCCCAGGCGCCAGCGGGCCCTGGCAGTTAGAAGGCGCGAGCTGAGGGGAAGGCGAAAAGAAGAAACAGAACCCCGGCCGGACGTACCGAGGCGCATCCTGGCGGCCCCTCCGCCCGGGTGAATGCATTCCTCCTCGCTCGGCCCGACGCACGCGTACGTGCAGCCGACATGGCAGGCCGCGCACAGGGGCCGCGGCGCCTCCCAATCGGCGTAGAATCCCACCGGACAGGACTCCACGCACTCGGCCCCCCGCAGCAGCAGCAGCCCCGAGGCACAGGCATCGCAGCGGTCGGCCCGCGGACAGCTGAGCCCCCCGGTGGCCGGCCACTGGCAGCCCGGATGCTCGTCGCTCGCCGAGCAGTACTCACACCCGTCGACGCACGGCAGACACACGCCATCCCTGGCCAGTGGGGCGTACCCCTGCGCCGGGCAAGAGCCCGCACACCGGCCGGAGTCCACCCACAGCCAGAGGTCCACATCGGCGCACCCGGTGCACCGGTCTGCCCGATGGTGGCAGGTCGTGCACGCCCCTGCGCATGGGGCACAGTGCGACTCGCCGGGCCCCGGCAGGTATTCCCCCGCCGGGCAGGCCGACTCGCAGACACCGGTCCGCGGCGAAAGGACCCACCCAGCCGCGCATGCGCCACAGGCGGCCTCGCAGCCCGGCCCCCGGTACCGGTCATGCATGCACTCGGTGCACCCGGCCGGGCAAGCTCGACAGCGGCCCGCATCCGCGGCACACTCGAAGTACCCGGCCGAGCAGCGGCCCACACAGCGGCCATCCTCCAGGAGCTGGCCCGGCCGGCAGGCCGTGCACTCGGCCGCCCCCGGGCCCAGGCACTGGTCGCATGTCGCCGAGCAGGGGTGACAGGCCGGCTGGCCGCCACGCACCACCCCGGCATACTGCCCCGGGGGACAATCCCCGAAGCAGGCCCCGTCCATGCCCAGCACCCGGCCCACCGGGCAGCTGGTGCAATCCCCGGGCCCGGGACCGGAGCACGTCTCGCACGTGTCGAAGCACCGCACACACTCGGCATCCCGGCGGAAGGTCCCCCGGGGGCAGGACACATGGCAGGTGCTGTCCCACACCAAGGGCGCGCTGGCCACGCAGGCCAGACAGTGCTGCGGCCCCGGGCCGTGGCACGTCGCGCACGACCCGTCACATGTGTAGCACTGGACCCGGTCGTCCAGCGACCCCGCCGGGCAGACGCTCACGCAGGCTCCCTTCGACAGGAGCTTCGACCGGCTGCAGCGACTGCACGTGTCCGGCCCGGCCGGGCAATACTGGCAATCGGCCGGGCAGGCCGTGCACCCGGCGTCGGAGGCGAAAAAGTTCCCCGGGCAACTGGGCACACACTGCTTCGGCGACGCCCCGGCCGGGAAGGCCAGCAGCCCGGCCGGGCAGGCACCCAGGCATTGGTCAAAGCGCACCCCGGAGCACTCGGCACAGGACACATGGCAGGCCAGGCACCGCTCGCTCATGGCCACATGCCCGGCGGCGCAGGCCTGGACGCACGCGCCCCCCTGCAGCAGTCCGCCCCTGCACCGCCAGCAGTCCCCATCCGTCGGGCCATTGCACGCCGCGCAGGCCGGGTCGCACGGCTGGCACACGCCGGAGGGCATTTCCCGGAACTCGCCCTCCGGACACAGGGACCGGCACGATCCCCGGCCATCGGGCCGGCCCCCTGCTGGGAGGTGCTCCAAGTTGGCCGCGCAGGAGGTGCACTGCTGGGCCCAGGGCCCGCTGCACGTGGCACAGCTGACATCACAGGGCCGGCAGGCATGCTCCACTAGGTCGCCATACATGCCCGCCGGGCAGGCAGCCACGCACACCGACCCCGGCCCCAGGAACCACCCGCTGGTGCACCTGAAGCACTTTCTTGCCGTGCACGAGAGACAGCCCTGGCCACAGGCCACGCACACCTTACTCCCGCCGGCCGGCGGCGGATCGCCCTCCCAGCGGTAGCCCGGCGCACACACCTCACACAGGTCCCCCCGGGCCGAGGCACAGACGGTGCAGCTCTCATCGCAGCCGGTGCACCGGTCCGCACCGGGGCGCTCCCCCGCCGGGCAGACACTCCCACACAGCGAGGGCATCGCCGGGTCCGAGGACAGGAACACCAAGCCCAGGTGGCACGTGTCGCAGGCGCTTGCCTGTGTACATGTCGCGCAGGAGCCATGGCAGGGCAGGCAGGCGCCCGCCGACGAGCTGTAATGCCCCGGCTGGCATTCGTCACACTCGCCAGCCCTCGAGCAGGCCAGGCACTTGCTGCCGCACGCCCGGCAGGCGGCCCCTTCCCGGAGGAATCCCCGCGGGCAGGTGTCCGCACAGGTTCGGCCGTCCGGTTGCAGCGCCCTACCCCCGGCGCAGGATGTACAGGCCCCCGGGTCCCCGGGTGCCTTGCATTCGGCGCAGCTTGCATGGCAGGGCTGGCAAGTCGCACGCTCGGCATCGGCCGACATCCCCGCAGGGCAACTTGATCTGCATTCATTCGCAGAGGCGTCCAAATAAAACCCCATCATACAGCGATCACAGAGGCCATTTGCTTTGAATGTGTCGCAGCCAGGCGGAGAGACGTAGACGCAGCTGCGCGTCGACGCTTGGAAAATGTGGTTTGATTCACAAGACACACACTGGCCATTCCCATGGCAATCGGCGCAGCCCCTCGGACAAGCCACACAGGTTCCCGGCGTCCCAGCTTCAGAGGGCGGCGCCCCGCTGAGCCAACGGTATCCTGTGCGACATTCGAGAAAGGCGTCCAGGCGGCCTGAGCACCGGGCACACTGATCGGCACAGGCGATACACCAGCCGGATATCGGCTCCAGCAGATACCCCCCTTGACACGTGCCGCACGAGCTGGGACCCGTGCAAGTGGCGCAGTTAGGCATGCACGGGTCACACGTCCCGGTATGCGCATCGGCCCAGGTCCCTGCCGGACAGGAAGACCCACAGGTGCCATCCGGACGCAGGAGCATGCCTGGGCCCGAGCACGAGAGGCACCCCGAAGCGCTGGCCGGTGTCGAGCATTCCCCGCAGGAGGGGTGGCAGGCGAAGCACCGGTCCCCCTGGGGCTGCGCCCGGTCCAGGGCCATGCCGGGCGGGCAGACATTGCACACGAACGAGTCGTGCGCCGTTCGGCCGCAAGCCGCACACTGCTCATGGCACCTGCACGAGCCGTCTGCCCCGGCATGGAGGCCCGCCGGACAGGCAGCCAGGCAGGTGGTCGGATCCGAGGGCATGAAGGCGCCACATCGCGGCACGATGCACCCCCCCGGCCCGGGACCGGAACATGTCTGGCACCGGGCATCGCAGGGAATGCAGCTCGGCCCGAATGTACCCGCCGGACAGGCACCAAGCCCCACGCGCACCAGAAGCCCATGCCGGGCCTTTGGGCCGCGCTCGAAAAGCAGCAGCGTCACCGCCGCCGGCCTGCCCTCGTGCATGGTCCACGTGCCAGGGGCCGGGGCCACCAGGACCTGCTGGGGCGAGGAAAAGCCCACCGAAGGGTGGAAGGAGGAAATTCGTCCCGGCTCCAGCCGACACTGTCCAAGGCCGCCGACAGGGCAATGCATCAGCGACACACCCACCATCTGGTTGAAGACCACCACCAGCGCGCTCGGATATCCCACCACCCCGTGCAGGGTGACGCCCCACATGGCAAAGTTGCCGAAGTTGTAATTCGGCAGTTCGGCCAGAACCATGCCCATGCCGGCGATGTCACGCGTGCGGCCCTGTGCCTGCAGGCCCAGGCGAACATGCTCAGCTGCCCAAAAGAAGCGCCCACCCTCATGCAGGGTGCCCGCATGCACGACATCCTCCGAGGGGAGATGCGGCGACCGGGAGCCTGTCGCCAGCGAAATGAGCACCCAGCTGCGGTCTGGCTTGACATCGACGGCAGACACGCCCTCAGACCCCCGAAGTGGGTGAATGCCCTCACCGGAAGGGGGGGCCGACATGCTCACTGCATTGTAGAGCAGGAAGCGCGGGTCCTCGAGCTGGCATCGGGCGTCGCCTTGACGGAATAGTTTCCACGGACAGGCATAAAGCCCCCAATACCGATGATCATACTGATAAATCCAGTCATCCGAATGCCCGGTCGCTGGATCGCGATGCATCACCATGGCAGGGTGTTTGCTTCGACCTTCCGAGAGAGCGCGCGATACGGGCTGTTGCTCGGCCTCCTGGAAGTCAACCACGTGCCCGTCAAAGGCCACCACCGAAGGGGCCACCTTCCTCGCCGGGGTCGTCGCAGCCAAGCCCGCCAGTTCCTTGGACACGATATCCACCTCGCACTCGGCATGGGGACCCACATCGGGTAGCGTGCAGGACAGAGCCAGATGGTGCACTCGGCTGGCGATAACAACGATGTTGATCTGCACATTGCCCTGCCGGATGGATGGATCCAATTCGATGATCTGTCGGACGCCCGAGAAGTTGGGCAAGTTGCTGACCGGCACATGGTCCAACATGGACGCCGGATCCTGGCGCAGGGCGTCGACATTCAGCATGCTCACCGCTCCGGAGCTCATGCCCGCGAGAAGGGCCCCTGGCTCGGCGGCCGTCAGTGACGCCTTCGACACATGGAGGCGCCCGCTTCGCAGATACGTGCGCGTGGGGCACGTTGTCACAGCATAGGCCCCCTCCGGCCGGTGGGACAGCGGGGTGATATCAATGTCCATTGGGACGTGGGCCGAGGCGACGCACACCTGGCCGGATGCGCGGCTGCCGTCAGGGCAGCCGGCCGTGCAGGTATCCGCCCCGCCGGCAGGGTCCCGCCACAGGAGTAATCCACGGTGGCAGGAAGTGCACGATCCCCCGCCGTCGGAGCACACCCGACAGCCTGGCACCGAGCACGGCCGGCAGTCATCTTGACGAAGAGGTGCGTGTGAGTAAGACGACCTAGGAGCGACGCATAGCAGGACACCGCCAATCACGTACATCGACCCAGACCCAAATGCACGGGATAAAGACCATCGATGCACCCGGCACACAGTTCCAACGGCGAGCGGAGAGGCGCGAGCCGGCGACCCGGCGCACAACGCCAACTTGGTTTCTGACCAGAGCACTCAATCGAGGCATCGGTCTTGCATGCGAACTGTTCTCTAAGCAGGAAAGTCTGCCTGCCGTAAGTGTAGACCCAGTGCTCTTGCCACCTTGAGCCGAGGTTCAAGCTGGCGATGTTGGGGGGATAGTTGCTTTGAGGATCGAAGAAGGACGCATAATTCAGCAGGAAAGGCTGCCAAATGAACTGCCCATCAGCAGGTCCATTCGGCCCCGGTAGATAGCTGACTCGCCAGAGGGCATCCACTCCACGGCCAAGGAGCAGGAAGCCCGTGGGACGGGACATGTCCTGGATCGCCGGGACGAAGTGCGTCGTCAGCGGCCGGCGATCGGCCGGCAGGGCCGAGGATTCGAGCACGTCCACCGCCACACAGGTCACCGGACTGAGGCCGATGTAAACACGCAGCCGGCTGGCGGTGACCACGACGAGGTCCATCAGCCCCGGGTCCGAGGTCAGAAAGCGCGTGGCCACCAGAGAGGTCGGACGTTCGTTGAGCGATCGGACAACCGGGGCCTTCCCCGGGCGAAGGCAGGACCAGCCCGTGGTCGTTGCCAGGAGAAAGCTCCCCGGCAGGCCGGACACACCCAGGCCAACGGGCTGGCTGACGGCGTGCGACTGGGCGGACCAATCTCCCCCCAGCCAGCTGAGCGTCCGGGCGGTGGCCGTGGTGCCGGAGCCCAGAAGCACCAGGGCCGTGGCCTCATGGACGCCGATGGCCTGGCCGGCCAGCAGGGTGACTTGCATGCCATTGAGCCCCGAGTAGGGGTAGCTCTGGCCTGTGGTGGACAAAATAATTTGGCTCCCATGCTGCCAAAGGAACAGCGGATCCCAGCGGCTCGAGGGGAGAGCCAAGGGACCGCGGGTCGGGCTGGCCGGCACACCGGACATATCACCAGTCAGGGGGTTTTCACTGGTCCTGGGGAAAAAGAATCCATGCCGGATGTCCTTGAATGTGTCCAGGTCGATCTGATGTCGGGAGGCGCGCCATCGTGAGGGTGTGACAGTGTACCACATAGATGGCTGACCCGACACGAGCCGACCTACATGGCCTTCCGATCTTGGGTAAATGTCCCCTGGTGACTGCATCCAAAAGAGTGATCCGCCGATTTGCTCGGCGAGCTGGGCACCGACAGCGCCCGGGCCACATGGCATGCAGACAGAGAGAAGCAAAAGCAACAATGCAAGAGTCCACGAGAGACTCCTGGCCGACGCCTTGCATCGGGGAAGAGCCATCGTGAGACCGGCAGCAAAGAAGACCGGGGAGGAGGGGCATTCGGAGGAGGGAGGCTGAGCAGAGGCAGCCTGGCTGAGGTGCAGGCGGCGCATCGACCGGCCTTATCAACCGTCAGCATGTCCCGCCTGCCCGGGGGCCTGGTGGCTGTAGCCCGTTTCGACTCGATGGCGGCGGCAGCGGCAGGCCGGGGGCCGGGCGTGGCCGGCACACAGGCGCACATGCGTACAGGGGTTCCGCGGCACAGGTGCACACCCGGGCACAGGTGCACACCCGGGCACATCCGCGCACACCCAGGCACACCCAGGCACATCCGCGCTCGCCCGCACTCGCACGCACTCGCACGCACTCGCACGCACTCGCCCGCACTCGCACGCACTCTAACACACGAGAAGGATACCTTCAAGCAGGGCTTTTCGCATGCCAGACAGCATGGGCCCCCCGGGTCTGGGAGACGCTTGATCGGGGTGCAACGGGCGCACCACGCCGGGCGTCCCAGCGTAAACTGGGCCGCGAGGCACCCCCCCGCGCTTCCCGCGCCTTCCGAAGGACACGCGATGCGCTGGCTCGGGGGGTGCGGGCGAACTCCATGGCTGGAGTTGCGTGCCAAAATGTGCCAACAGCCAGGGGCTCACAAACCGGGTCCCTCCGGCCGGAGGAGATCCTGTGCGGAAGGAGGAGCACGGACACGGGGTGCGGTGGCACTCACGGCGGAGTGCCACCGGTAGAGGACTATGCTGTCGCTTTATTGTTCTAACAATCTACTACCAATGTTGGTCATTCCCTCGGCTCTGCCCCGCGCGTTCCCCCCGTCCGGCATGGCAACCGAGCAAAAGCCCGGCATGCATCTACACCACAGACCCCCGGCCCATGAAAGGGGGGGGGACACACGACACGGCCAGCAACCCCCTTCCCAGCCACGGACCATGGGGCTTCCCGAAGGAAAATGCACGGCCCGACGACCGGCCTCTGCCCGCCCCCGGGCCCCGAGGGGGGATTCATGTGGGCGAGGCTGGTAGACTTCTCACGGCTACTACATGTTGCGCGGCGCAGCGCTGGCGGAAGGTGGCTGCGAGCGGCCGCCGGCTGGGGTCCTCCTGCCAGGCGGCCTGCACCAGGTCCCGGGCCTCCTGGGCCAGGAGCTCGACGCTCGGCCGGGCACCGCCACGCACGGCGTACTTGATGTCTTGCATGCTCATGCCAGCCCAGGGAGCAGTCCGCGCCAGGCACTCGCCCAGCATGACCCCCGCCGCATACATGTCCACCGGGAAGAAGAGCCCCGGGTCCAGGGGAACCGACCGCTGGAAGGCGTCCAGCAGCTCCGGCGCCGCATACCGCACCGACATGGCATTCAGCTCGGGCATGCTGTTGACCAGGGCCGACAGCCGGCTGGCGCTCAGGTTCCTGGACGTGCCCAGGTCCCCGAGGGCCGCCCGCCAGGAAGAAGCCGTCTGGCTGACAAACACATTGCCCGGCTTCAGGTCGCCGTGGGCCACCCCATGTGTGTGCATGGCCTCCAGCCCGGCGGCCCACTGCTGGCAGATGTCCCACAGCTGAGCCACCGACAGCGGCACCTCCGAGTGCAGCAGCGTGCTCAGGTCGCAATCGAAGCGCTCCATCACAATGGCCGGAGGCGAGGTGCCATAGCCATACAACCGGACAATGTTCGGATGGTCGCGCAGGACCCACATCAAGGCCACCTCATTCTCGAAGAGGGCGTGGTGCATCGGCTGCAGGGGGTCGGCCTTCATCCTCTTCACGGCCACCACGTCCGGGCAGCCCAGCCGGGCCCCGACCCCGGCCCCGACCGCCTGCGCCGCATACACCGACGCCTGCGTGCCGGCGCCCAGCTGCTTGTCCGCCAGCGGCCGGAAGTCCATGTCGACGCTCACCAGGAGGGCCCCCGGCAGAGCCAACTCGACGATGGTATTCAGCATGGTGGCGTCCTCCGTGTCCAGGCTCTTCGAGCCGGTGGCCCGAGCTGCCGCCCGGTGGCGTCGTAGCAGCACCGCCAGCAACACCAGCAAGATGGCCAGCAGCAGGAGCCCCACGGCCAGGCCCACGGCCAGGCCCACGGACGAGCCGGGCCTGCCTCGGGGACCCCGGCAATCGGCCCTGCCCGGGCCGACGCACAGGTCCGCGCAACTTTCGTGGCATGGCAGGCAAGTGGCCGGAGAGCCCGCGTCATGGCCCCCATCGGCGTAGTAGCCCGCCGGGCAGGCCTCCACACAGGAGGTCGCCTCCAGCAGCAGCAGCCCCGGCAGGCATTGGTCACAGGTCCGGACATCCGGGCAGGCAGGCGGCCGTCCATCCTCCAGAGCACACTCAAGCTCGCCGCCGCCGGCGGCCGCCGTGCAGCGCTCACACCCGGCGAAGCACCCCACACACATGCCATCAACCACGGCCGAGCCCGCCGGGCAGGTGTCCACACAGGTGCCCCGGCTCGGGTGCAGGAAGCCCGACCGGCAGCCCGTGCAAAAGTCCCCCGAGCCGAAGCACGTGGCGCACTCGGGGCCACACGGCCAGCAGGACGCCCGGTCAATCGGATGCTGATACTGGCCCGCCGGGCAGGCCCGGGCGCACGTGTCCCCGGTCCGGACAAAGCCCTCCATGCAAAGGGTACACCCCGTGGGACAATCCTCCCCGCGGAGGAGCTCGCACCGGAGGCAATCGGCCGGGCAGGCGACACACCGGCCGGAGCCCATGCACGCATGCCACCCCTCCGGGCAGGCAGCCGCGCAAGACCCATCCGGCTGTAGCATGTACCCGCCGGGGCAGCTCGTGCAGGCATCCGCCCCGGCGCAAGTGGCGCAGGAGGACCGGCACTCGAGGCACACATGCTCCTCGGCAAAGGTGCCCCGTGGGCAGGCCAATGTGCACGCCCCCTGGTGAAGGGCCCGGTCGCCGGAGCACGCCGTACACGCCTCCGGCCCGGGCCCGGAGCAGGAGCCGCAGGTGGAGCTGCACGGCATGCAAATGCCATCCTCGGTGAAAGTCCCCGCCGGGCAGGCCTCATGGCACCGGTCGCCGAACAAGATCGGAGCACCGGCCGGGCAGCTCAAACACTGGTCCGCCCCCGGGCCATAGCATGTGGCACACTCTTCATGACACCAAACACACATGGGCCCCTGGGCCGAAGCCCCGGCCGGGCAAGTGGCCACACACGCCGGCCCGGCCAGCAGCCACCCCCGATTGCACATGGCACAGGCATCCACCGACTCCGGGCAACGGGTGCAATGGTCCCCGCAAGCGACACACCCCGAGGCCGAGGTGTGGTAGGAGGCCGGGCAGGATGGCAGGCAGTGCGACAGCCCCGGGTTGGCCGGCAGTCGCAGCAAATGGCCCGGGCATGTGGTGCACTCGGTGCTCCGGGTCCCGGCACACGCCTCGCAGGACGCATGGCACCGGAGGCACCGCCCGGCGAGGGCCACATGTCCCGTGGCACAATCCTGCACACACTCGGTCCCCTGGAGCACGCCGTCCATACAGCGCCAGCAATCCCTGTCCGACGGGCCATTGCATGTGGCACACGCGGCGTCGCACGGCTGGCAGGTGGCCCCCTGCCGGTACTGCCCATCGACGCAGCCCGAAATGCAGGCCCCCCGGCCGGGGCCGTCCGCCAGGAAGTCCAGCCCCGGGGCACAGCTGTCGCACTGGCTGGCAGCCGGGCCGATGCACGTGGCACAGGACACATCGCACGGCTGGCAAGACTCGCCATTCGAGTATGTGCCGGCCTGGCAGTCGGCCACACAGCCGCCATGGCCATCCAGCACCAGCGGCCACCGGCAGGCCAGGCAGGCGTCCACCGTGCAGGTGGTGCATCCCGGCTGGCTGCAAGGCACGCACGGCTCGGTGGCACCTCCTCCTGGCGGCCGATCTGACCACCGGAAGCCCTCGGCGCACACCTGGCAGGCCGTCGCCTCCCCGGCACACAGCTGGCAGCTGTCATGGCACCTGGCACACCGGCCCTGGTGGATGTACTCCCCTGGCAGGCAGGCACTGCCACACAGGGATGCCACCTGCTCGTCGACACCGAGGAACACCAAGCCCGACTGGCAGGCCGAGCAGCTTGACCCATTGTCACACGCCGCGCAGGACCCATCGCAGGGAATGCACCCCGGGCCGCCCTGCTGCAGGAAGTGCCTGGCCGCACAGCGGACACACTGGCCGGTCGATGAGCAGTCCAAGCAGCCAGGCGCGCACACCCGGCACACGCCGCTGTCAGGCCACATGCCCGCCGGGCAGGCGCTCACACAGGCCCCCCCATGCAGCCACGGCGCCGCGGCCGGGCATGTGGTGCAGGCCCCCGGGTCGCCAGGCCGCGCGCACGTCTCGCACGCCTCGTCGCACGCCAGGCACCGGTCCAACTCGGGCCCACTCATGTCGAGGCCATAGCCCGGCAGGCATCGATCGCACACGGTCTCCCCGGCCCCATTGAGGCTGCATGCTTCGCAGAGGCCCGGGCATCCGCACTGGCCGCCGGCCATTGGAAGGGTGCCGGCCGGGCATTCGGCCAAGCACCCTTCCGGGGCCCCGGCCAGCCAGTATCGACAGGCCGTGCATGCCGTCGGGCCGGGGCCGGTGCACTCGACGCAAAGCCCATCGCACGGGTCACACGCCGGGCCGAATGTCCCAATCGGGCATTCCAGCGCCACCGAGAAGTTCAAGGGCCCGGTGGCCGGCGAGAAGGCCAAGAAGCTGAGCGACCGGCCGGTGCTGGTGGCGGCGCTGGCGGCGGGGGCCGAGTCTGACGACACCACCGGGCCCCAGAGGGCCATTTGCTCCGGGATCCGCATGGATGACGGCAATTCCCCGAAGACGGCCGGCTGCAGGGCGCACGGCTGCCGCGGCCGATTCGGGCAATGCAACAGCGACAGCCCGAAAAACTCCCGACCCAGGAGCACCAGCGCGCTGGGATACTCCGGGCCCAGGGCCAAGTCGCTGAGGGGGACCCCATAAAAGTGGACATTCTCATGGGGGGCCTTCGGCGGGGGCACCGGCCCGGGCAGCACCCCGAGCACCTGCTTCCCATACGGCAAGTCGGAGGGCCGGCCACTGACCAGCATTTCCCCGGGCACCCGGAGGACCACCCACTCGGACCCGACAACATACGGCAAGACCACCTCCATCGGGGCTGCAGGATCGGAAGGGGTCGGCCGAGGGAGAACCAACACGGTATGGTGATTGTTGGCCATGCTCGGCGGGTTCGCCAACAGACGGCCATCGAAGGGCTCCCGGCGAAAGAACAGGCCCTCCAGCAGAGCTTGCGGCAGGAGGCTCGGCAATTGCGCGTAGGCGGTCCACAGGAGCCACGCGCCATGGGCGGGCGCGGCCCGGGCCCCGGTGGCCGGGACCACGGGGAGCGTGACCGACCCGCTGCTCATTGGCGAGACCAGCTCCACCGACCGGGTGGCCGGGTTGGCCCGGTACCGAGCCCCATTCAGGCTGGCATTTTTCAGGGCAAACCCCCCGGCATCCAGACGCCGAAGCGCGGAACAGCCGGTCGACGGGCCCTGTCCCAGGCCCGGAGGCTCGTCGGCGATGCAGGGCCCGGTGGCCTGGGCACATGTCAGCCAGGCCTGGTAGGCCGCCTTCTCGGAGGTGCACACGAACACCAAATATAACAGCTGCCCCGCATGCAGGAAGGGGCCCACCTCCACCGAGGCGGTGACCATTGTCGCCGGTGGCGATGCGAAGAGGTGGATTTCCCGCAGGGGCGGCTTGTCCACCATGCCCACATGCATGCGCGGCAGGAAGTAGCTCTTTCGGAGCTCCGTGAAGATGAGCACCCCGGACACCGACGGGCTGCCGAGACCCGGCAGGATGGGCCGCCCGGTGAGCTCGTCCACCGAGAGCCACGATTCGCCGACGAAGGTCACCCGGTCGCCGAGGGCCAGGCCCGGCAGCGACTCGGCCGTCGGGCTCGAGAGGCTGGCCCGGGCCATGTGCCTGGACTCCGGACAGCACACGCCGGCCAGCTCCCTGAAGCCGGCCGAGCAGCTGGCCACACACCGGGTACTGCCATCCGGGGCACTTGCCTCCAGGCGGAAGTCCGACGCGCATACCAGGCAGTTCGCCGAATTGCAGGTCAAGCAATTCGCATGCGGACAAGCACGACACACGTGCATGCTGGTGGCCAGCGGTGGCTCGTCTTGATTCAAGGAGGGGGGGGGGCATGTCGACGGTCAGGAGGGAAGCACCGCGAAGAAGGGGGCCAGATCAGCCGGAAGACAAGGGCCGCGCAGGGCCGGAGGGCCCGGCCGGGAGGCAAGCCGAAGGACACCCAGGCGGGACATACCGATCGGCCGGTCCAGGAAGGAGCCGTTGGCGCACCCGGCGCACAGGTGCGTGGCCGACACATAGGGCGACTCGGCGTGGCGCGGCGCGCAGGTCCACCCGCGCGAATGCCCGGTCATCTGGTTGGCGCTGTCACAGACGATGCTCCGGTCGTCCGGGCACCGGAAGGCCGCCGAGGAGAAGAGGGCCGTGCTCGCCGCTGCCAGGGTCCACTCGACCGGGTCGCCGGCGGTGCCGACCAGCCGGGCCAGCTCCACACCGGCAAGGTTATCAGCCGCCACCGGGGGCAAGGCCACGCGGCTGAGCCGGAGTTGCGTCCCCACGGATGACACTTGCCATGCGCGCAGGCGCGGATCCGCCGCACCCGGCGAAAGGATGTAGAACGGAGCCGGCCGGTCGGTCAAGACGGCGGCCTCCGGGGCCAGGATCCGAGAGCCAGCGGGCGGCACCTCCGGCCGCAGGTCCACGCTGTGGTTGCCCGTCGGACCGGTGCCACCGAAGCAGGAATACACCATGACCTTCTGGTCTGCCAGCAGGACGACGACGTCCGGCCCATCGGGGCACGTGGCGGCCGGGGTCATGATTCGCGTCACGGCCAGGCCCAAGATCCGACTGGGGGTCTCGACTTCTTTCAAGTCGACTGTCATACTACCCGGACCCGAGCTGAGCCGGATCAGTCGGGTGCCGGCCCCCAGGAAGACACTCGTCCCGGTGCCGGCTGCCCCGAAGCCCGGGCCGGCCTCCATCGGACCAAGGTACCAGGGAAATACCGTCAGGCCGTCGGCATCGAGGCGGGCCAGGAACGGCAGCCGCGATTGGTCCAGCTGGCCGATCAGGCCCAGGAGCAGGACGGCATCCCCGGACAGCGGGATCCCGGCCAGGAGCTCGATGTCCGGGCGCGGCAGCTGGTACACTTCCTCCTCGGTGAACAGGGCAACCGTGGTCCGGGTGTGCTCGACCACCACCAAGTACGGGTAGGCCGACCAGGGGAGGAGCATCAGGTCCGCCGTGCCGGGATTGTCAGCCCGCGGACAGGATAGCATCAGGCGTTCGGCACCGAAGAAAAGGCCCCAGCGCTTCTCCGGCGTCTTCTCCGGGAGATTCACCTGGCGCTGGAGCGTATAGCGTGTTTTGGTTTCCCGGGACCCGACGAAGGAGGGGGCTCCATATGCATGGGTGAAGGTCAGCTTCCCGGGGGTACTGGACACCCGGTGGACCGCCGCATGGAAGTAGATGTCCTCGCCGCGGATGCTGGCGATGGCCAGCAGCAGCCATAGCACCAGGACGGCCAGGCGACCACCCGGCGGGTGCCGACGGCTCCCGGCCGTCGCGGCCCGGGGGTCCACCATGGGGTGACACTGCATTCCATCCAGTGATGGCCGTCAAAAGAAGCAAGCGCAAAAGAGTAGTGGAGGAGGCGAGGCGAGCGGAGGTGGATGTGTCCGCCGGCGCCTCTCGCCAACGCCCAGGACCCGGCGGCTCTTGTTGGCGGTGACAGTAGGCACTTGGCTGGCGTGTGCGTGTCCTCCCCTGGCTGTCCGGCATTCCCGGTCCGAGGGTCCGCAGACGCGCCTGCCGGGCGCAGGCGTTGCCGGCCTCCGCAAGGGCCCGCGCCGCCGGCCGCGCGGGGTCCCACGCCGGCACCAAGCCCCAACAGTCCGTCGTCCAGGGGGGCACTTCCCGAGAGGATGGGGGGGGGGCGGGGGGATGTTGGGACCCGGGTTCCGGCCCAGGCTGATCCCCACTCCCCGATGACTGGTATGGCGGGGGCCGAGTTCCCGGCCGGAGGTGGGACCCATGCGCGCGAACAATCACCCCCCACAGTTGGGCCGCGCGCCTCCGTGTGGCGCATTGGTGTGCCACGTGCCACACAGGCGCCGGCACTTGGGCAAATTCCGGGCATTATTTATTCCCCGTTTGGCCCTCGGGCGGGCCTTTCCCGGTGTGGGCGCCTGTTCGTCGTGTTCCACTGCGAGATGCCAACTCACGGGCAATTGGCCCGCCAGTCCCAATCTCCGAGCCGGGTGTTCCCCAGCGAGCGGCTCTTGGCCTCCCCCCCCCCCCCCCCCCCCGGCCGTTCCCGCTGGTGATCCGTGTCAGGCTCCGTGGCCCTGCACAAGGCGGGGATGCGTCGCCCCGCTGGCAACCGAGGCCACGGTCCCCGGCGTCTACCGCCCCAGGGACGGGGGCATCCCTCCGCCTAAATCTCCCGGGGAGCCTGCCTGGCTTCTGGGTCCGCTTCTTTCTCTTCTGTCGTCCTCGTCGCCTGCCCCCTTTAGAGCCCCCCTTTGGCCTCCTGGCCCCGGTCCACTTCTCGCCAGGGCCACGGGTTTCCTCCCTTGGCGAGGCTTGCCCCATGCCGGGAGGATGGCCCCGGCCGGCGGGGAATGCCCCACCCGGCGCGTGGGCCTCAGCCCAGGCCGCCGGGGCCGGCCCGAACTGCCCCGCCCTCCCCTTTGCCGGGTCGCTCCCCTGCGCCTCGGTGTCAGCTCTCGATGCTGCTCCACCTGTTGCGCCTCTCCCACACCCTCAACAAGCTGCGTCTCCGCTCTGGGACGTGGTCGATCTCCGGCAAGCAGCCCAGGCAAGCGCTCCAGATCCCCCCTCTCCGCCCTTGCACGGGGTGCACCCACCCACCTGCTGCTGATCTTACCGAGGACGGCCCCGCGGTTGGAGACGGACTGGGCCCCCGGCACATTCCACCCACGCCGAACGCACTACAACTGGCCCGGGAGTCGTGCACCCGGCTCGGGGCTTTGTTCGATGTGCAGGCAGCCGCACCTGCCTCGGGACTTCGGGCAAATACACCCCGCACCCCTTTCCCGCGCCTCATCGCACCACTGTGCCCCTGGCACGCCCGCGCCCCTGCATGTGTGGCTCCGGCGCCGCAATCCCCCCCTATCACGCCCATCGCCGCACTGGGGACATATCACCGCGCACCCACCTGTCGCTCCACGCCGCCCCCCCCTCAGAGAAGATGCACATCGATGACAGTGGTCCTCAATCAGTGCGGACGCCCCCAATCGGCATGGTGTCGATGTCGAGGATATTCTGCCCCCCCCCCCGTTTACACTGCTGTGGCAGGCACCGTAGACGCTAGGAGCCCTGGCCGAGGATGATGCCCCCTCGGGGCACTCCAGCGTGGCGCACTGCCATGGAAGGCCACGTCGATGCTGGCAGACGCACGGGCAGCAGTGGCCCGCCGCCGCGCAGCCCCGGGAAAACTCGGCCGGGCCTTCGAGCCCTCCGCCTGGGCGCCGGTGCCTGTGCCGGATCATGCATTCTGAGGGACACCCAGCACACAGGGGGCCGCATCCAAGCGATGCGCCTCGCGTGAGAGGCCCTACACGCGCCCGTGCGCCCGCGCCAGCGTCCCAAAGCAACCCCCCATGCGGTGTGTGCTCTCAAGACGGTAGCCCCCCCTTAAGCGTGCCCTGTCGGCCCTCCCGTCCTGGGAAGCCACCCACCCCGCCACCCTCGTTCAGCGCCCCATTCCGCGATCTTGACCCGAGGCGCCTGGCTGTTGGTGTCCCTGGCAATGGTACCCATCTGCCCACCTCACCCGGCCGACCGCCGCGGCATGGGCGTGCCCCCGACAAGGCCGCTCGCTCTGTGGCAGCCTCGTGCGAGGCGGGGCCCGACTCCCTCCCTACCGTGCCTTTTTCCCGAGGAGCCCGACACCCCAACGGGCGCGCGCATGGCTCCTGTGGATCTCGCCCGAGGTGCGAGGCCGGTCTGCAAAAACCCGCCCAGCAGGGCCCCCACACTCGAGCACCGGCGAGGCCAATGCCCACCCGAGGGTCACCGATCGCCTCGTGCCACAGTACACCGCCCCCCGGCGCCGGGCATCCGGCGATCCGGTGCGCCCTCGGCAGGTAGGCCGGCGAACGCCATCGCCCGACCCGCTGGCCCTGCTCTGTCTTGGTCAATCCAGCACCCGGCCCCCTGCCGGGGGCTCTTCCCGGCGGGCAGAAGCCGGTGCCATGGAAGAGGAAACGAGGCACCCAGCCCCGGCCACCCGACCCCATGTGTCGGCCGGGTCGCGAGGCTTTTTTTCCTCCTCCCACAGGGCGTCTCTGTCCGGCTGGCGGCCTTGGCGCCCGCGCAAGACCAGGCCTTTTTAGGTCCGCGCGAGTGCGCATAACCACAAGCCTGTTTAGCTCAGTTGGTAGAGCATGGGACTCTTAATCCCAGGGTCGTGGGTTCGAGCCCCACAGTGGGCTTCCTTCTTTTGCCACGCGCGCCATCTTCCCGGCCTCCACTCGGGCGCCCAGCGGCCTGTTCCGCGCCCCGGGGGACACACGCACCAAAACACGGGCGCTCACGCGCCGCGACACCCATGCAACCGGGCGCCCGTGTGCGCCTCAACGCAGGTCGATGCGCCAGTGCACCCCCCATGTGCATCCCCGCCGGCCCCGACTCCGGACAGGCAGGCCTCGATCAGATGAAAGGATCCGCCTGGCCGGACATCCATGCCACGCCCGCCGTGTGGTGGCCGGGGGTGCGGATCGCCCAGCATCACTGATGTCCCATGTGTGTGTGTGTGTGTGTGTGTGTGTGTGTGGACAGCCCCGGCGGGCTCTTTGTTGACGCATGCCGGCCTTCATCGGCCCCTCAGCCCACCCTCGCCTCTTTTGCCCGACCCCCTCGCGTCCCTCTGCCCTGCCCTGGAGACTGCACTCGCACTCTCTCGGCCACACACAACCATACAAGATGTGCCTCGCTGGGGGGAGGGTGCCGGCCCAGAGCCTTACCCTTGCCCCGGCCCAGAGATGGAAATGTGACAGGCTGGGCAGCGCCACACATCCCGGAGGCTCTGCCACAGCCCAGCGCATAGCACGCCTCCATCCGGGCGACCACCATCGTCGCCGATTGCCGCCACCGGCCACCGGCCTTCCATTGCCGGTACTTCATGCACGCGAAATGACTCAGACAGTCGCCGGGCATCCGCAGCCGGCAGAGAACCCTCCCCCGAACAGGCCTCGTCGACGACAGACCCACAAGCAGCCAGGGCGGACCCGGACGAAGAACCCATGTCGGCCCTTCGATGCTGCCTCCCAAGTCATGTTGCTCTTCAGGTCCGCCGCCCTGAAGACCCCCCCCCCGATCTGCCAGTCACTCAGCCCTGTCGGCTCCCTGTCCCCCGCCCTCAGCACCTCTCAACCACGGGCACATAAGCCCGCCTGAAGCCCGCGACAAAGCACGAGCCGCGCCACCGACGTATCGTCCGGCTCCCCGGCCGGGGATCAGCCACCGGGCCCGGCGGCCTCCCACACGTAGGCAACACTCAACGGCGAAGTCGGCTCCGGGCCCGGGGGATGCGCACGCACAGGCGCGTCCTCCCCGGTCGAAGCATGCCACAGGGCATGGCCATGCCATCGGCATCGAGGAGCAGCTCCGGCACAAGGACCGCCCAGTACCCGGCGCCAGCGGCCCGCCGCTCCAGCAAGGCCACACTGCCATCCATGAAGGCCGCCCGCAGGTCCCGCACCAGGCCCGGGGAGATGGACATCGGCCTCGGCCCCGATCCACGCGCATGTGGACCACCTCCAGCAATACGGCGGCCGCGCATGGTGCAGGAGCGTGACCCCCTCGGCGGCCGAGCAGACATACGCATGGAAGCCCCGGCAAAGGCGCACCACCCCCGGGACAGGGTGCACATCCGCCCCTGCCGAGCCAGAAAGAGCCGGGAGTTACACTGGAGGAAGAGATACCCGCCGAGCAGCCAGTCCGAAAGCCCAAGCGCATGGCACAGGGATGGGAAAACATCGCTCGACAGGCCCAGCAGCGGGCACAAGGGCCTCAGACCCCCCACCGAGTCGGCCCCCCAGGAACACCATGCGGCCGCGCGGCCAGGCCCCATTCGCCATCCGCCGTCCAAAGGAGCACCCGCGTGCGCCCCGGCAGCAGGACACCCGCCGGCCGACAAGCATACCCCGTGTCCGCCTGCCAGGTGGACGCCACGCCCACCCGTCGCGGGCGCCCGTGGTCCAGGGCGCCCGCCTCGCCGCGCAGCATGACGGTGCGTTGCCGGAGTACGGCGCAGCAAGTTGGTCACACGCCCCCAGCGGGCCAAAGCCCACCGGGCGGCCTTCATGCCTGCGGACCTGGTGCTTCTGGAGGACATTCCCCTCGGGAAGGCCCTGGTACAGCTGGGCCTCCAGCTGGCCGGGGTCCAACCGCCGCCCCTGGCCAAGCCCCTGGTCTGCCTTCAGGAGGCAGGCGACGGCCAGCAGCTCCGGCGGCTGCGCCGCCTCCAAGATCAGGGTGTTGTCGGGGGTCGGGCGCATGTCCGACCCCAAGAGAAGGTGGTCGTCTGGCAGGCCGAAGGCCGGGTCACAGTGGGGCCTGCTCCCGGCGCGCCGGCCCGCCATCCGGCAAAGGGGGTCAGCCTTTCGCGACAACCTCCCGCCCGGTCGCCGCCGCCCCGCCAAGGTCGGCCCCGCCCCGGCACGCGGCTCCCACCGCCCGTGGCACATGCCCCTGCGGCCGGGGGGGGCACATGGCGACGGACGTCATTTGCCAATGCCCATTGAGGAAGACAGGTGAGTGGCCCTGAAGGAGGTGCGCCCGGAGCAGGCGCACTGTCCGCCCCGGCACTTGGATGTCATCGCGCCCCAAGGTCCGGGGGACGCGCTCGGCGTACACCGGCAGCCGGATGCCATAGGCCAGAGGCGGCAGCCGCAGCAGCACCGTCGCCGGCACGCCCAGCAGACGGAACTCCCACTGTGGCACGCTCAAATACAGGAACGCCACCCGCCGACGCATGGACAGGACCCCGGACAGCAGCGGCCGCAACCGGGCATCCAGCATTTGGGACATGCGCGCGCGCAGGGTCCCGGCCCCGGCCGGGAGATCGAATTCCTGCGCGTATGTCCCCCCCCCCTCCCGGCGCAAGCGACCCAGCCGAGGGTCAGCCAGCTGCCGGGAGAAAAAAAAAGAGGGGGAGTGGGTGCCCCGGGCCGGGGGACTCAGCACGGTGCCCGCATACCTGGCCCACGGACAGGATCCTGCCATCCACCAGCCGCAGCAGGCTTCCCATGACGCTGGCGTATCGGATGTCACCGAAGGCCCTCGAGCCCGAGGAGAGGTGCGCCTCGGCCCGAGCCACCTGGGGCGGTGGCATGCTGGCGGTGGCACAGTGCAGGGCATGCCGGCCGGACAGGCGCTCGGCGTCCCATGCCCCGAGGGTGACCCGGTGCGGCGGCATGTCGCCGTGAGGAGCCGGGTCGGGGCTGGTGGCGGGGCAGGCAAGAGCAACGTCCACAGGGACACGGGAGGTGAGCACGCATGTTCGCGGGCCCCCATGCGGGGAGAAGCAGCGCCAGCGCACGCAAGCCGTAATTCATGCCCATTGCCCGACAGCAGGAAGGCATCCTCGCCCCCCGGGCAGTCGGCCACGCAGCTCCCGATAGGCGGAGGGACTGACGGTGGCACGTCCCGGGACGGCCCCGGCGCGCGAGCTGACGCCGACATCCAGGCAGACAGCAGCGCACGCGACGTCGCCACCGGACGCCGTGACGACCAGCAGCCACCGCCGGGCCCCGGAGAGACCGATGCTCCGGGGCACCACCGTGAGACGCGCGCCGGCCGGCTGCCCATCGGGCAGTCGCCCGACCGGGCGTTCCGCCGGGGCCCCCCGCCGGGCCAAGTGACCCGCCGGACCGTGGCCAACACCGTGGCGCTCCGGGACTCAAAGGGCAGGAGCTATGGCCAGTCGGGGTGGCGGGGTGAGAAGCAGCCGAGCCGGGCGGCATGGCAGGAGGATCCCAATACGCCGGCTTGTGTGCCCGATCCACGCGCATGGTGGCACCGGCGTGCGCGGCCAAGAAGGCCCGGGACGGCTGCTCCTCGCAACACGGCTCCCAGGCGCCAGGTCCCGCGTCCAGGGCGAATGTCAGCCCCACCGACGCGGGCACCGGCAGTCCCGCAGCCGGAAACATCGCCCAAGGGGCCATACGCATGGGCCCGATGGCGCTGAGGTCCTGGGGGGTGCATGGCAATGGCGAAGCGGGCCACCAGGTGGCTGGGGCTGCGGCACGTCAGTCTCCGGCCCTGACGGCCGATCCCCCCCCCCTGCCTTCCTCCACCGGGCAAGGAAAGGCTCCCCGGATGAGAGACCAAGGGCACAGCCCCGCCCAGGAGGCAGACCACATTCGCACCATACATCGAACAGAGCCCCGCGCGCGGTGAAACGGGCAACCCCGCGCGACAAGGCATCCGGCGACTCGCCTCGCCGGAAGGCCGCCGGCGGTACTTAGAGCGTGCCGCGCGCACCGCCCGGCTCCCCGGGCAGGAGTTCCAGCGATACCGCCGCCGGCCGGGTGGCGCACGACCGCCGGGCCGCCAGCGCCCGGGGCTCTTGCAGCTCGCCCTGCGTGGCCCACACATGAATGATGGTTGCCTCGGGAGCGCCGTGCGCCACGCCGGACTGGACATCATTGAAGTCCCGGTCCACGAGCCGCGCCACCCGAACCAGGCGCCTGTGCGCGGACAGGCGAATGTCCTGGCGTCAGGCCGGACCGATGTGTGTGTGTGTGTGTGCGTGTGTGTGTGAGTGTGTATGAGGGGAGCAGGGGACGGTGAGCCAAGTCAAACGAGGACGCGAACCAGGACGCGGGCCGGCGCATGGTCCAGGGCACAGGACAGGGCATGGCGATAGCACGGCCAAGGGGGGAAGCCAAACACAGGCATCCTCCCAGACGCACGTTGCCCACGCGAAGTGGCGCCCCAGCCAGCATGGCCATCCGGCGGGGCTCATCCAGCTGCGGAGACACCAAGTCGGTCTCCAGGCAAATTACAGCCAGCCCCGGCGGCGCGTCGCACGGCACACGCAGCCGCGGGTGCCCGCGCGAGCCGGGCCCCATCAGCAGACGCTCCCCCGCTCGCAGGGAGGCGCCCGGCAGGGCAGCGCGCGGGCGGATGCCGGGCCCCATGTGTCGGGATGCGCGAGCGATGCGATGCCCCCGCCCTTCGTTCGGGCTTCCCCCCCGGAAGCGTCTGCTCGACAAGCGCACCGGATCTCAAGGACACGCTGTCCGCCGGACACGTAGAACGATGCGCCAGGCCGCTCCGGCCGCCGGGTGGCCAGGACCCGCGCGGCTGGGCCGCCCACCGGAGCCAACGGCACATCGAGGCTGGCCTCCGGGCAGTGGCTGGCCCCGACCACATGCAGCTGCCTCGGGGGAGGGCCGGCCCCGCTGGCCACCCCCTCGGGCGGGACCAGGCCCACGACCACCGGGGCATCCGCCAGCGACATGTTGCCCGCCGACTGCACCGCCAGGATGACTCGGGCCCCGGGGCCGAATAGGCCGCACCCGGTGGGCCCGTTGGCCGCGCGAAGCGCAGCCACCCCCAGACTTGGCGCCACTTCGTCGACCACCAAGTCGAGGGTCGGCGCCGGGTCAGCGGAATGCGGCCAGGCTCCGGGAGCCCCCGGTGCGGGCAGCCGTGCTTGCGGCCCTCCGAGCCGCGCGCCACACGCCTGCTGCATGCGCCCCCCGGGCACAAGGGGGCCGGACACAGCGGAGGACGCGACCCGCCGCACCGCCCCGAACGAACGGGCGAAGCCCGCGACACCGAACCCCCCCCCCCCCGAGCCGGCGGACGCACCTCGGCCATGCGCAACGGCCGGCCGCGCCCAGCAAGGGCGCCCCGGAGCGCCGCCTCCAGCGCGGCGAAGGGAACCAGGGGCACCCGGCTCGCAGCCAGGCCGTCCTGGCACGCGGCCGACACGGCCAAGCAAGCCGCCTCCAGCCGGGCCGCCTCCACCGGCCGGGCTTCCAGCGTGTCGGCATCGCCCCGAAGTCGGCCGGCCCGCGCGGGAGCCGCCCTCCCCCCCCGGCCTCGGCCCGCGGACCAGGACCGGGACCACAGCAGCATGAGAAAGGGCGCCTCCCCCCCCCCCAGGGCAGCACGCGGGCAAAGGGCCACGCGCCGCGCTTCGAGGATCGGCTCCCCGGCGGCCAGGTCCACTTGCCGCCCGGCGGCCGCCAGCCTGTGGTGTTCGCCCGGCGCCGGTGGCAGCTCGCCCGGCGGGGCCGTCTCACTCCAATCCTGGCGCATCGCCGCACCACCCGGACCAAGTGATGGCCAGGGGCGATCCGACGCCTTCGGCCCCATCGCACCAGGGGCAGCACACAAGGCGGGGCAGAAAAAGAAAAAAGGGCAGCGGACAAAAGGCACAACAAAAAGACCGCCAGCCCCATGCATCCGGTCCCGGGGAGGGCCGCAAAAAATGGGCCGCCGCCCGCAGCGCGCGCCCGGGCCCTTTCCGATGAGATGGCGAGCCCCGATCATTCCCACCGCCGAGGCCCGGCCGGCGGGCGCGGCCCCGGCCCCCTGAGACAGCTGCCCACGCAGCGGCAGGCGCGCATGGGACATCACGGGCGCCCGCATGCGCGCTCGCGTGCCCGGGCTCCCCTCACCCCGTCCCCCCCCCCGGAAGACGCCCATCTGCGGAATGCATGTATTCTGGCCCTTCTGGAGTTCGACACCGCCGCCCGGCAGGCCCGCCGCTCAGCGTGGACCGGCCGCCGGGTCCCGGGCCCCCTCGGCCAGCCGCCACGAGGCAGCCACCCCGCGGCCGGAGAAGAGCACGCGGGTCTTGGCCGGGTGGAAGAAGCCGCACGAAATCTGCCAGCCCTGGCCATCGGTCAGCAGCTCCGGCGTGAGGGTGACCGGCAGCCCGGGCGCCGGGCGCCGCTCCAGCAGGACCATGCTCCCGTCGGGGAAGGCCGCCGGCAGGGCCGCTTGCAATTGGTCCCGGCTCGGACCCCCCTCCGCCGGGGCAGCCACCCGGCCGGCGGCCGTCGCTTCCACCCGCATGTGCACCACCTTCAGGCGGAGGGCCTCCGGCTGGTGGTAGTGCGTGATGTACGGCCCGAGGTCCGGGTAGCTCAGCACATGCGACCGGAAGTCCTCCGACAGGCGCACCACCCCCGGCGTGTCGTGCGTGTCGGCCAGCCGGGCCAGGAACACCCGCGAGCAGCACCAAAGGGCCATGCACTCCGGCGGGGCGGCCTCCCCGAGGGCCTCCCCCAGCGACTGGAACACATCCCGCGGGAGCATCAGCCCGCCATACAGCAAGGTCCCGGTGGGGATGAACTCCGCCCGGAGGACGGCCATCCACCGGGGATTGCAGCGGACCACCAGCTTGTGCGGCTGGCCCGGGGCCAGGAGCGGGCCCGGCGAGGCGAGCGCCTCCGGGCCCCGGCGCGGCTGCCTGAAGGTGAACCATGTCAGCCCCGGCACCACGACCGCCAGCTGGCAGGAGTTCTTCCGCGCGCCCTCCATCCACAGGACGGAAATGTCCACCCGCGAGGACCGGTCCAGGGGGTCCAGCAGGACGGAGTACTTCTGGCGTCCGGCCGGGGCCACAGGGCGCCAGGCGCCGCGTCGGGCGTGCATGTGTGCATATGTGAGAGGGAGAGAGAGAGAGAGAGAGAGCCCATGCTTTGGCCCGTGCCCCGGGAGCCGTCCCAGCACGCACCACATTCGCCCGGATGACATTGTCCGGCGGGAGGGCGCGCAGCAGCGCGTCTTCCAGCAGCCGCACATCCAGCCCCGAGCGCGGGCCGGCCCCATCCGGGAACACCTCGCAGGTGACCGACAGCACCTCCGGCGGCTCGGTGTCCATCAAAGAGTAGGGCCCGGCCGGGGGCAGGAGGTCCTGCCCGAGGAGGACGCGATTGTGCCGCAGCCTCAGCCGGCCATCCTCCACCGGGCTGCCGACACAAAGGGGCGGTCAGCATATGGCCATGGCGTGCCCGCCGCCCGGCGTCTTGCCCCCCCCCCCCCCATGCCCCCCGAATGTAGCTGCCCCATGCCGGTGGCACCACGCACCGGAGCTGATAGTCCTCGTTGAGGAAGATCGGCCGTCGGCCCTCGAGGAAGTGCGCCCGCAGGGAGCCCATCGTCCGCGCCGATACCCGGATGTCCGGCCGCCGCAGGCTCACCCGGCTCATGTCCACGTCCGGGGCGCCGGCTACCGGCAGGCGAATGTACGCATCCAGCAGTGGCATCCGGATCAGGGCCGACAGCGGGCAATCCAGCACGCCATACCCCGCGCCCCGGGCGTTCATATAGACGAAGGTGTCCCCCGCGGCCAGGAGCCCGGCCTTCAGTGGCCGCAGGTCCCCATCCACCAGGCTGGAGATGTGGCCCGGAAGCGTGGCGCCCGGCGTCGGCAGCTCGACCGCCTGGCGGGGCAATGGCCGTCATGGACACGGGTCAGCAGGGCAGGCCCGGGAGACGTGCATGCATGGCGCGAGCCCTGCGGGAGGAAAAAGAAAGGGGCCAAGGACCACACAGGGTGCGCCCTCGCCCATGGGTGTGTACCTGACCCACGGACAGGACCGTGCCCTGGAGCGCCTGGCGAAAGGACGCCACCAAGGCCGAGTGGGAGATGGGCCCAGCGGCAGCCGGCCCCGGGGACAGGTCCACCTCCACCAGATCCACCACCGGCGGGGCCATGCTGACCGCGGCCCAGAGCACCTGCTGCTGGCCGAAGATACACCCAAAGTCCCACTGGCTGAGGACAATTCGACTGCCGGCCGCCGACCGGCCCCCCGGGTGCGGGTCCGGACTGTGGCGCCCTGCCGTGTCAGAGTGGCCCTGCGCATGCGTGCTTTGTAGTCCCCGCATCCGGGCCCCTGCCTCCTAGACCCACCCCCCGGCCCCAGCAGTGCCACGCACTAAACCAGCAGCAGGTGGCCGTTCACCTGGAGGAAGACATCCGGCCCGCCGGCCGCCAGGGCGCACAGGAGCCGGTGGTCGCCGATGCTGACGGACGCCCGGCCGGGGGCCAGCCCCTCCGGCGGGCTGGCACTGGCCTCCAGACCGAGGAGCCCCGGGCCGGCGGCGGCGTCCCCGACCAGCAGCCACCGGCGCGCGGCGTCCGCCGGCACACCGGGCCCGGCCGGGCCGCTCCCCGACTCCGGCCCGCCGGACACCGGGGGGCCCGTGCCGGTGACCTGCAGGCAGGCACACCCATCCGAGGCCTCGGCCGGCAGAAGCCCCACCGGGCGATCGACCCCTGGCGTGCCCGACCAGACAACTCGCCGGACGGTGGCAAGCAGGTCGACATCGCCCGACCGGAAGGGCAGCGCCTGGCCACCGCCCCGCAGAGCGGAGGGTCAGTCGCCGGCAAGGCGCGTGGTGCCCCCCCCCCCTCCCCTGGACCTGCCTCGCTGACTACCATCGCCACCATCGCTGCATGTACCTGGCCCAAGTGCATGGTCGTCTGGCGGTGCGCCCGCAGGAAGTCCCCTCTCAAGCGATGCATATCCGGCAGTGGCCCCCCGGCCGGCATGGCCTCGGGGCCGAAGGACACCTCGACCGACGCGGCCACCGCCACCGCCGGGGCCGGGGTCAATGCCAGCGGGGCGGTCCCGAACGGGCCCAGCGCCCGTCGTGCCCCCGTCGGGATGGCGATGGCATATGGCCGCATCCCATCGCCGGGGCTGACAACGCATGCGTCAGTTCCACCGAGGAAGGCCGCTCCGCCCCCTTCCGGTCGCCCCCGCGCGCCCCCCCCCCCCCTGTCCTGCCCCCCCGGAGCACGTACCGCACGTCCAGCAGCATCCCCCGACAAAGGAACCGCGCGACCCCCTGGCACAGGGCCTCCGAGCTGGCAACCTGCCGAAAGACCCCCGCCGACACGAGTAGCGTCTGCTCGGTGGCGGCCATCCCCCGGTCCGGGACCATCGGCTCCAGCAGGAGCGCCTCCCGCCGGGGGTCGCTCGGCTGCAGGGTCACCAGCTGATGCAGGTCGCCCGGGTCCCCGCACGGAGTCTGCACATGGAGGATGGTGTGCCCGGGCCCCGGGTACACGGCCACCCCGGTGGAGACGGGCCGCAAGTCGCGACCCATCAGCCGGACCACCCGAGCCGAGAAGCGTAGCCCCGCGAAGCGCACCACCTGCCCATGTGTGCGCCCACCGGCCGGAAAGGAGCGTCAGTAGCCAGCCATGTTCTTTCCTGTCGGCAGCGAGGCCGGCCAGGGCGAATGCCCTTTTCCGCCCCCCTCCCCCCCCCTCCCGGCAGGTACCTCGTCCACGTGCAGCGGCGCGCCCGCCACCGCCGACAGGACGGCCTCCCGGTCGATTTGCCGGATGGGCGCATCTGTCTCCAGCCACACGACGGCCAGGTCCGGCGGCGCCGCGCACGGGGCCAGCACCATCGGGCGGCCCTGCAGGCCCAGCGAGAGGAGCAGGCGCTCGCTCATGCGCAAGGACAGCCCGGCAACCGAGCCCCCCATGCAGACGCTGGGCCACACGCGCGCGCGCCCGGCGCCCGCGAGGCGAGGCAGGAGGGGGACCCCCAAGGTTAGCGAGTCAGCGGCGCCGGTGGCTCCCCCCCCCGCTCCCCGGGGCCCACCAGGCGGCCGTACCGGATTTCATACACCCGCCCGGCGTGCGATGCGTAGAGGCGCCCGTCCGGGGTGCCCGGCCGCCGGGCGGCCAGGGCCCGGGCCACCGGCCCGCCAGCCGGCGCCAGCAGCACGTCGAGGCTGGTCTCCGGCCAGTGCCAGGGGCTGACCATGTGAAAGGGCCCTTCGCCCGGGTCGGCCGGGGCATGCGCCAGGAAGGGAAGTGCCGCCACCACCGGCGCACGCGACAGGGCCAGGCCCCCCGTCGGGCCGGCGATCAGAAGCAGCTCGGCGCCCGGGGCCAGCGACCCGGACCGAGTGGCCCCGCCGGCCGTGCGGAGCTCAACCGGGCTCAGCTCCACCGGAAGACCCTCGACCTCCAGGGACAAGGTCTGGCCTCCGGCCAAGGGGGAGCCACGCGTCAGCCAGGGGCCGGACACGGCAGAGGCACATGTCAGCCGTCTGTACGCACCTCGCCCAGGCGCAGCGGCTCCCGCCGCCCGGCCAGATGCCCACCGGCTGCGGCCTGCAGCGCCGCGAAGGCCAGCGTCTGCTGGTGCCCAGCCGGGGGGTCGCACCCGCCGGCCAGGCCCACCACAAAGCAGGCGGCCTGCAGCCCGGACGCGCTGTGGCTACTGGTGGCCAGATCCACCAGCCGCCCGGCCATGGCAAATGTCGGACCATAACCGTCAGACAGGACAGACGTTCGGCCCGCGGAGGATCGAGCGAAGGCAGGGCCCGCGGTGCGGCGGCGGCGGCGGCGGCGGCGGCGGAACGCACCTTACTCGTCGGGCAGGCGTGCCCATCGTGGGGGATGGCCCCGGGGCCAGCGTGCCCGGCTCGCGCGCCGCGGCACTCCCCGAAGCCCGGCTTGTCGGGCGGCCGTCGTCCATCCTCGATCGCGGGGCGGTACCGACAGGCAAGATGAGGCAGGTAATAAAAAAAAACAGAAAAAAAAAAACAAAGCAACAACCCCAGGCCATGCAGGGGCGTGTGGGGATGCGGGTGCGGGTGGAGGCGGGTTCGAGAGTGCCGGCCCTCCGGGGACGGGGGCGCCGCAGGCCCAAATGGCGCAGGCCGCGCGCCCAACACCGGCGGTCCGGCCCGCGCGCTGGGCGTTGGCATGTGGCCGATCGCTCGGCGGCCACCGTCCGGCGACGGCATCCTGCCCCGAGGGCCGCCCGTGCCGGCGCGCGCGCGACCGAGGGTGCTGGGCATTTTGTCCGCCGGTCGAGACCCCGGCGCGACGACCACCACCTCGGCCCGGTGCCTCGACCGCACGCTCGTCCGCCGGTGCGGGTGCGGGCACCGGGCCTCGGTGGGCATGGTGCCCGCCTTGCGGCCGGGCCGCATGCTCGGATATGTGGCCCGCCCACGGCCGGTCCCGGGCGGGCAGCACGCATGTCGTGGCCGCCCCCGGTGCGCCGCTTGCCGGACGGGTGTCGGCCGGGAACGTGCCTGCCCTGTCCGGCCTACGGGGTGGTGGTGGAGGTGCGCGGGCCGGAAAGCCGGCGCCTCCTGCGGCCAAAGGGTGCATCCCAACCGACCCGATCCCGCTGGCCCGGCCACGCCGAGCCCTCCACAAGGACACCACCCCTCGCCCTCAACAAAGATACAACCCCTCGCCCTCGGCAAAGACACAACCTCTCGCCCTCGGCAAAGACACAACCCCTCGCCCTCGGCAAAGACACTACCCCTCGCCCTGACGGCACCTCACCTTCGGCCTGCCAGGGGGGGCACCGGAGTGAAGGCACCTCCCCACCACAGGGACCTTCCATTGCGGAAGGGCAGGCCGCGGGCCGGCTTCCCGATGCCTTGCCGCCCCCCAAGCCCCGATGCCAGGAGGCCCGCCAGCGGCGCCGCCTCGCCATGATGCAGGCCGAGGGGGATCCACCGCGCCGGCCAGTGCCGGGGGGGTACCCCGGCCCCGGGAGCCCCATGTCTCCCGCGTGCGACAGGCAGCCAGGGCATCCGCGAGGCAGGACATCCGCGCGCGGCCCGCGGCTCATCGGGCCGCGCGCGCAAGTCACAGCCATCATGCCTGGCACAGACCCGAGAGAAGCCCGCCGGGAGGATGGCCCGGTCGAGGCGCGGCCTCGTCGCCGGTCGCCCGGCGTGCGGCCGGGGCGGCACGTCATCGGGGGGCGGCACGGTGGACCGCCCTCAGGCACATCCGGCTAAAAGGTCCCGGCCGCCGGGGCATCCCATACGGTCCCATATAGTCTAGGTGGTTAGGATACGTGGCTCTCACCCACGAGACCCGGGTTCGAGTCCCGGTATGGGAATTCCCTTTTGCGCCGCGTCCCCTGACCATGGCCGCAAAAATGAAAGTTGACCACGATGCGGCTCGAACACACAACCTCCTGATCCGTAGTCAGGTGCTCTATCCAATTGAGCTACGCGGCCATGGGGAGGGGCATCCGGCCGCCGCTTAAAAATGTTCGCGTGTGCCGGCACGGCCAGGTCGCCGGAGAGGGCCCCCCGGTCGAGGGCGGGCAGCCACACACGCCACCCGATCCCCGGGGGAGGCCCCGCGTCGGGCTGCCGGCGTGCATGCTCGCGCGAGACACCACACCGGGGAGGCACGGGCACGCGCAGTCGGCCAGGCTCCGAGAGGCGGGCCCCGCGCAGAGGGGCGCAGCCGGGTCCCGCGGCCGATCCGGACAGCCGTGCGGCCGGCCCGTGCGAGCGCGCCGCCTGCAGCGTCGGCCGAGGCCAAGCCCCCGCCTCCCCCCCACTTCATGTTCGAGGTCATCCACCGCCGCCCGGCCACAGGGCCACATCGCTGCACCGGACCCCCGTCCCGATGGCTGCATCACGGCCACGAAGGCCACCGGGCGACGGGACGCCCGTCCGGGGGCTCCGACTCGGCCGGCCTGCGGCTGCCGGCGAGCCACAGCCGGAGGACCGGGCCCTGACGTCTCGGGCCCCGGCGCCCCGCAGGACGTACGCCCCGCGGCGCCGGACGGGCATCTACCGGGCCCCGGGGCGCGCGAGGGCCGGCCTCGGCGTCCGGGGCCAGGCCAGCGAGGATGGCGCCCGCGCCGCCCGGGCTGGCTGCCCACCATGGGCCAGGCGCCTGCCCATGCCGGGGCCGCCCAGCGAGACATCCCCCGCCCGCCGTGGACCGAGGCGCCCAGATCTCCAGTCGGCAGGGAAGCATCTCGCCGGCGCGCCCCCGGGGACACCCAAGGCCCGGAAGTAGCGTCTGTAAAGGCCTGCGTCCGACGGCGGGGGAAGGAAAGGCGCCTGCTTCCCCCGGGGACACCC